GCAATTTGGTCTCTAGTTCCTCTGCCCCTTCAAAATCCAGCTTGTACATCTGGGAGTTACAGTATTGGTCCACATACGCTGAAGCCTACCTTGTAGGATTTTGAGCATAACCTTGGTAGGGTGTGAAATGAGTGCTATTGTACAGTACCAGACCAATCACTAACATGCTAAAGTTTATTATGTTTTTAATCATATTGGATGCTTGTTTAGCAGAGCAGCAGAAGCAAAAAACTCTTTGTATGTCAGAAGAGAGAGGATGTGTGTGTAGACGTAGCAGGAGGAAGAGGGGAAGACAGCTATTTTTCCTTTCACAGGCACACCACATTACATGCTTGCTGTGAGAGCGGAACCTGAAAGCTTTTCTTTTCCTGGCAGCTGTGTGCTTCCATTGTGTATGTGAGCAAAGGAGCTCATGATTAAATCTGGGTGCAGAGAGATTTTATTCACTGAGGAGAAAGTGAGAGAACCTGCCTCTTCTTTCTATGAATGTTAGGAGTAAAACACACTGACATTCTAAGGGATTTTCACCAAGAACTAGCCTATTTACAACTTTACAAGACCAGAACACTGTGAAATAATAATACTTTTTTGTATGATCATTTCATGTACAGTTGACATCAAATGTCAGCATACAGTTAGTGTATTCTAGAGCCTCTGCACCCTTACTTAGTAAGTTCAGTGGAGTTTCCTCCCAAGTAATACTCATGTACAGTTGACATCAAATGTCAGCATGTAGCAGGCAATTCTGTTAGTATATTCTAGAGCCTCAGCACCCTTAGTAAGTTCAGTGAAGTTACCTCCCAAGTAAGATTGCACAGGATTAGCACATAATAACTGAAATCCTGTAGAGTAGGGATTGGATGAATATGGATTGATGGAAATTCAAGTGATTCAAATTGACCTACTCAGTGACCACCTTTAGCACAGTAAAGTTGTAGTTAAGAGTAGGCCCATTTCAACCAATGGAACTTACAGAGGAGCTGATTCATTAAATCTCCATTGGTTTAATCAGCCTTGTTGTTGTTACGTGCCATCAAATAGCTCCAATATAGTGACCAACATATGAAGTATATCCAGAAAATGTTAAAACTGCAAGATGTTTCATAAGGAAAACAAGGGGAAAGGTCAACCATAAAAATAGACATGGATAAACAGTAAGAAAAACATGAGATTAATCATTTGGGCAAGTACCCCATTGCTGCATGGCCGAACATTATGCTTTGCCTGTGCTGCTGCACAAGCTGAACACTGTCCCATTCCAGTGAAAGATGCTCATGGTTGCACAAGGGGTCCTTCCTGCCTCCTTAGGATTCTTCCCAAAGTAATAAAATATAAACCTAAAATTCACTAACAAAAAGCCTAGAACATTAAACCTGAATTTCATTTCCCTCTTATTGTTTTATTTACAATTTTTTAAAAAATGTATACAGTATTTTTGCAATATCACAATAAGACTATAATTCACAGTTAGCTAGAAAGTGAAAAAAAATTCTGGCTAGAAAGGTCAGCCAGCCCTTGAGGACCTCTGGGTCTGTTTTGCGACATTTTGTGCTCTGATCTGAAATTAACCGGGCGCACTTCACAAGTACTTTTGTTAAACCAGGAAAAAAATAGTTTGTGTACCATCTGGAAGGGGATCCACCCAGTGCTTGTTGAGTCCCATGGGGATAGAATCCATCTCTGCTTCTCGCTGAGCTTGCTTCAGTTCTCTCCTCTCCTTAGCTAACGCACTCTGCATCATGGCTGCTTGAGACAGGGAGCCATCTGGATTCTGGAATTAACAGTAAAATGTTCAAGTGCTCTATGCTCCTGCACGTCCCAAATTTTCGCCTGACAAAGCAGCCGTTATCTGCCTGCTTGCATTTCCATTCTTGAAATTTTTTTGGTTTTCAAAACCAACTCCTATAAGCAATTGAAGAGCATGACTGTGAGTGCTCTAGAAAACTCCGGTTTGCAAACTGGAAATTACCTCATTGAAAACAGTCAGCCCTATTGATCAGCATTCTGTCTGCACACAAAGGAACAATGAATACCTTCTCGTAAAACTGGGGGGAAAAGTACAGTTATGCACACAACAGGCCATTGTGTGTACAAGAAACAAACGCCAAAACCAAAACGGGTTTGGCCACAATATGTAAACAGGATTTTTGTCACAATTTTAATCAACTTAAATCTCTCTTAACCTAAAGTACCAGCTACATTCACTAGGTGGTAGATCTTAGCAGAGAAGATAGCTATTGTTCAGAAAAAAATGGCTCTTATTGAAAGAAAGCACTGTTTAAGGAATCAGCTTGCCAAAGCGCAAATACTAAAAGCAGCAACAGGAGTGTGATACTAAAGAACAATTGACAGAATGCAAAAGGTGTATCCAGAGCAACTGAGACATCAGAACAGCAACTTGGAAGGCAGGAATGAAACAGAGGAATAAAGGCAGCAGCTAGGAACTACTTCTAGACAGAAAAAGAAAAATTGACATTTTTCTAGAATCCAGTCTTGGATTATAGTTATGATCCATGAAGTACAATTCAAAGAAATCAGACAGATGTTTTGAATCTAGGCATACAAAGAGCAGCAGAAACAAAGGACAAAGCAGGAGAAAAAAAGCAGGTAATAAGAGGATGGCATGAAAGTCATGGGCAGCAGTGAGTCAGGGAGTAAGACCAGAGAGATAAAGGTATAGAGATCTTTGAAGGTAAGAATGACCCCTCCCCAAATTTTGGAGATAGATAAAAGATATTTCACAAGAAATTATACATCAAGAAATAACTTTTAAACCAGAAATGTTTTTGTTGAATATAATTCCAGAAATTGTTGATGAAAAAATTAAATATGTGTTGTTGCACATATTCACAGCTGCAAGGCTGATATGGGCCAATGCAGGACATTCTGAAAAAAGAGGAGTTACTTAAAAATTATTAGACATTGCGGACATGGATAGCCTATTAGAGACACTACGTGAGAACCCGAGAACATATATCAAGGAAAGCTGTTTTATGATTGGGCCCAGAAATAGATATGAGTAGAGAATATATTAGAGATTACCATATCAGTCATGAAGTCAAGAGCTTTTTAGATATTGTATGAAAGCAAGTATTCCCATGTATGTTTTTGTTTTGTTGTTAATCCCTTTTTCCCCTTTCCTGTTGTTGTATAGTTGTTTGTGATAGTCAATAATATTAATAAATTAAAAAAAAATAATTTCAAAAAGAAGCCAAGAATGAGAATTTTGTTCTTGATCTAGGAATAGCCAAAGCAGAATTTGATGTCACCAAATAGGGACAACACATAGAACACGGTGAACAGCTACAGCAGGCTTTGGGGGCAAATTTTAGGTAATTAAAAAACCAACAGGAAAGTGCCCAGACAGGCCCTTCTGGTTCGAAGTTTTTGCTTTTTGGGGATTGTAGAATGCTAATTTGTAAAAAGGTACAGTCATATCCATGAGAAGAGCAGGCAGGGAAATGGGCTTCACTGCACTTTCTTCTCGTGGTCTTTATTCTAGTTTGGTGGAAGAAAGCACAGAAGAAGGAAGACTGATGTGGCAGAAAACAAAGAGGAGTAAGATGGGTCTTCATAGAATACCTGAAGGTCAAGCAAAGCTGCTGAGAATTCTTCATGTGAGTTAAAGAGGTTTGTAGTATTGCTTGTCCAGACAGAAAAAGAGGAGACAATGAATTTGTAATGGAAAAATTAGCCAATTCTTTCACTGCCCTCCAAAGGCATCCAGCTTCACTCGGGTTACTGGAAGGTTTGGATCTTTTCATCATCCTCAGTAACAACAGATCTCACTCCCAGACTAAGGGTCAGTACACATTCCTCACTCATCCCCACCACTAGGAATTTTAGGCATAGTGATGACTGGCTGGATTTGATTACCTTGACTATCTTGATGGGGCTCATGTCCATGCTCTGCTTTGTATGACCCCGCAGGAATGGAGGCTCCTCTTCTACCAATTCAATTTCCAGGTCTTCATCTAAAAGAAGGAACTAAGCTCAGTGCAAAATACATCATGTCTTAAAGAAGGTTTTTTTTCACACTTCCCGATAAATCCTCCTTACTCTTTCCCAACAGAATAGGGTTTGGTTAATGGCAACCCCGCCCCCCAGATTCTTCTACTACAATGCTGCGGGAGTGCTAGAGTGTTATAGTAGAAGATGGTGGGATGGTGACAGTATTTTTCCCACAAGACAAGTGGCAACAAGGGGTTATTTATACCTGTTTAAGTACAACTGCATAAATTATATAGGCAAATTGCCACTACTCAAGGAGTTGCTGCTTGTATTCCTCATTGTATGCCAAGTCATGCAATTGATGCAAGATAAGAAATACAAGCAGCAGTTTATTAACTAGCAACAATTGGCTGCCCAGCTTTATGCCACAGCACCTATGCTGGCATAAATAGTGAACAGGATTCTGGCCCAACAGTTTCAAGTAACAGCTAGAATTACCAGCAGTCTACTCAGAAGTGCTTCAGTCACCACTCCTGAATTCTGAGTGGTTCTAGAGGAAAACAAATTTCTTGCCATAGATGTACCCAGGTCCATCAAACACAGGACTACCACAGAACCCAGCCCATCATTACCTTCCTCATCATCCACCTTTGGCAGGATCCCTGTTTCTTCATCAAAATCGGGGAACTCCTCCTTGGACAGCACATTGGCAGCAATCATCTGGGGAAAACACAACCATACATCCTCAGGGGCTTTGTCTTGTTTTCAGTATTTAATTCTATAGCAAACTAGCATCTCCTTCTTGCTCATAAAATATATCTCACAAATAAGGACCTTCATGAAACAGAACCATCAAGATACAAGAAGCTATGTGGCCATTGAGCCAACACATGTAATTTGGAATATACTTTTTTCACTTTGCTTTATTTGCTGAAATGCCACTGGAAAAGAATTATTACAATTATTCAAATAATTCAAAAGTTGGGACACCATTACAAAAAAGGATGCTTCCCTTGTCACCACTTTTATCATCTTAAGTCAACAGAGGGTCCTGAAGGATTCCTGAAGATGATCTTAACACATAAGCATGTATTGTTTTTGTGCTGTGCACTGTTCTGGGTTTAACTTGGAGAGAAGAATGGCATATAAATGAAAATCATAAAACTAAATAAAACAAATAGCCTCAGAGTTTGTTACTAATTTGAAGTTTCATTCATACTGTGTTCGTATTTCCTTCACACAAAGAAATCTTCAATGGCATTGCACTAATTTAACATGTATGCTACTAGGAAATGGAGAAAAGAAGCAAAGCTCCAGTCTGAGGCTTTAAAATTAATTTCAAGTAGTAAGAGCTTCACGGATTTCTGCCTTGTTGTGGTGAAGGGGCCTGAGTAATTCAGAGAAGCTGTGGACTATGCCGTGCAGGGACACGCAAAACGGACAGGTCATAGTGGAGAGTTCGGACTAAATGCAATCCCCCTGGAGCAGGAACTGGCAAGCCACGCCAGTATCTTTGCCAAGAAAACTCCATGGACGAATCCAAGGCAAACCTTTCAATATCACAGTAATCCAAGTTCATGCACCAACCACCAATGCTGAAGAGGCGGAAATTAACCAGTTCTATGAAGACTTACAGCACCTTCTAGAAATGTCACCAAAGAAAGATGTTCTTGTCATTATAGGGGACTGGAATGATAAAGTAGGGAGTCAAGAGATAAAAGGAACAACAGGTAAGTTTGGCCTTGGAGTTCAAAACGAAGCAGGGCAAAGGCTAATAGGGTTTTGTCAAGAGAACAAGCTGGTCATCACAAACACTCTTTTCCAACAACACAAGAGGCGACTCTACACATGGACATCACCAGATGGGAAATACCGAAATCAGATTGATTATGTTCTCTGCAGCCAAAGATGGAGAAGCCCTATACAGTCAGCAAAAACAAGACCTGGAGCTGATTGTGGCTCTGATCATCAGCTTCTTATATCAAAATTCAAACTTAAACTGAAGAAAGTAGGAAAAACCACTGGGCTAGTCAGGTATAATCTAAACCAAATCCCTTATGAATACACAGTGGAAGTGAAGAACAGATTTAAGGAACTCGATTTGGTGGACAGAATGCCTGAAGAACTATGGATGGACGTTTGTAAAATTTTTACAGGAGGCAGCAACAAAAACCATCCCAAAGAAAAGGAAATGCAAGAAGGCAAAGTGGCTGTCCAACGAGGCCTTAGAAATAGCAAAGAAGAGAAGGGAAATAAAATGCAAGGGAGATAGGGAAAGTTATAGAAAATTGAATGCAGACTTTCAAAGAATAGGAAGGAGAGACAAGAGGGCCTTCTTAAATGAACAGTGCAAAGAAATAGAGAAAAATAATAGAAAGGGAAAAACCAAAGATCTGTTCCATGAAAATTGGAAATATTAAAGGAACATTTTGTGCAAAGTTGGACATGATAAAGGACAAAAGTGGTACAGACCTAACAGAAGCAGAAGACGTGAAGAAGAGGTGGCAAGAATACACATAGGAATTATACCAGAAAGATCTGGATGTCCCGGACAACCCAGACAATGTTGTTGCTGATCTTGAGCCAGACATCCTGGAGAGTGAAGTCAAGTGGGCGCCAGGTGATGTCATTCCAGTTGAACTATTTAAAATCTTACAAGATGACGCTGTTAAGGTGCTACACTCAATATGCCAGCAAGTTTGGAAAACTCAACAGTGGCCAGAAGACTGGAAAAGATCAATCTACATCCCAATCCCAAAGAAGTGCACTGACAAAGAATGCTCCAACTACCGTACAATTGCACTCA